GCTGTAACTTGTTCTGTGGGCAAACAAAAGCACGTAGCTCCACAGGACTGTCAGTCAGGCTCACTCCCTCTAAGCATGCACGCGTGCCAATGAAAGTATTAAGGTAAACAACACGAAGAAAGAGAAGTAAATTTGCTTTTTTCCAGTGGTTGTGACCTTGGCAGCGAGCGGTGATGTTGATTACAATATCTCTTTTCAAATATGTGCTGCCTTCTCTTGCCTTTCTATTTGAAAGGGAGATTTATTGATTGGCTCAGCCTTTCTGTGACAGCAAGGAACACGGGAGGAGTCAGGAGGGTCCACTAACTCACTTGTCAATCATGGCCTTGAAATCCAGGATGCCCTCGATCAGCCTGGCAGCAAACCTGGAAAAATACCAAATGTGACAAGTTGAGATTCAAACACAGAACATCTGGGGCTGAGCAACTAGCTGCACAGGGCTAGCAGAGCTTCTCTCTGCTCCTTCAGAGAATGTTCAGCCTTTCTGCCAATCCCCCGTTGTGCCCATCTCTAGTGAGTTGATACGGCCACTCTGGGGTTGTGATTTGAGATTGCTGGATAGTCCTACCATGTAGCGCTTTTTTATGGATCTTACTGTAGAATCATAGAATGGTTGAGGTTGGAAGGGACCTTGAAGATCATCGAGTTCCAGCCCCCCTGCCCTAGGGGGGTTACTCACACTTGGGTGTGAGGGTCCACCTCACGCTTGGTTACTGTATAACCAAGGAACTCCAAGCAACTTTCAAGAAAGCAGGGTTCCGTCCAGATGCATAAATGACCCTCTATTACTGATGTGTTGTGATTTTATCACATCCTAGTGCTAAGTCTTAGCATTAAAATAACACTGAGAAAAGGGGATTTCTGCCCTTCCCTGGCCAGGGGCCACCTCTTGAGTTTCAAGCCAAGGTGCAGCTCTATCTCCCTGCACCCGGGACTCACCACTGCTGACTTAGTTCCTACACGGTGAATGTTCTGCTGCTAATGCAACTCTTCAGAGCATTCCTCTAGCACTGAGGGATCTGCAACAAATGCAGGCATGCTGCATGCTGACACCGAGGTGTTGTGTTTACCAGGATCAACATAAACACTGCCAATGCCAACTCCCAGCGGGGAGGGAGGCTGTGACAAGCCACATCAAACTGCTTAGCTTGGGAGTGACAGGTTGGCCTACTCTGACCTGGGAGCTCCCACCCACGCATGGGAGGAAGGAGGCAGGAGGTCACTGTGACAAGAGGTTGCAGTCAGCTGAGCTTCAAAGGCTTTAAAATGGTGCGAGCATTGGGCATTCGCAGGCAGTGTCATCTAGATTCGCTCAGCCTACCCCTCCCTAGTAAAGATCAAAGGATGTCACTTCAAGAACCTAAGGGCTGTTAAACAAATAAGGTATCCCGCAAAGTAGTTTTCAATGAAAATTTCCCAGCCTTATTGCAAAACCTGAGGAAGTAAAACAGCTGGAAAACAACAGTGAGAGAGCCTATGTTCCCTTCCAGAGAGCAAACAGCCTGGGAGCAGAGATCGAGCTGGAAGGGGAGATGGGGGAGAGGTTAGCTGACTTGTTTTCAGCCAGCAGTGTTGCCAGAGTAAGGAATGGAGAACTCTACTTTCCAAACTGCCTTCTGGTTTCTGAAGCTTTAGTCTCAAGCCATGCTGTCAAACTTCTTTCTGCAGCCACAAACTATACAAACACACATGTAAATTGTGTTTTACATGGGAGCCCAGATTCTCATGCAGCTGCTCATTTCCACTGGTTGGGGCACTGGTAGTGCTCCAGATCTTATCTTCTATTTGGATAACTTAAGAGTGAATAACAGGAGAAAGATCTTTCAAAGATGTTTGTCTAGTCTTGCACTGTCCCCGTAAGGCTCGCTCTCTGCAGCCCTGCTCAGGTGTATCCAAGGGAGTGGAAGGGAGGATTTGTTCTCAGCCTCACTGCTCCCCTGGCTGGTACTTTTGCTCTGCCAGAGCAGTGATGACTGGTAACTGTGGCGAAGGTAACCCTGTATAAAGGTCAACATTAAAGTTTTGCAGGTTTTGTAGTGGTGGTTAAAAATTAAAGGGAGACCACAAGGAAGAGACGACATGGCAGGGTTTGACTGCAAGAAAAGCCTGGAGAGGCTGGTCACTGTTAAGTTTCCCAAATCATAAATCATAAGTGAAATGACACAGTGGGGGACAGTCCCCTGCAGGAATAGACTGAGTGACAGTCTCTGCAGCAGACTCCCCCATCCCTTTAAACTAGCAAACTCCAGAGGTGTTCCTGGTTGGTGTCCCGTACGTGCCTGGGCTGCTTTTTATGCCTCCTTTAACAGCACGCACAATCTTAGTGCCTCTTATTCTTTAGTGTGTCAGATGTATCCTCACAATGCCTCCAGCCAGTGATTTGGCCATCTTGCAGTGAAGATCTGTGCTAGAGCAAAGACTAAACCCCAGGTTTCTACTGCCTGTTTAGTACCTGAACCACCAGACTCTTTGGTTTTCCCCCCTTGCCAAAATACTTAGTCTGGTGCAACCAGGAGTCTCCTTACAGCTCGGCAGCGTTTCCTTATCTGTACAGCCCTCTTGCACAGCACAGACAGCTATCAAACTTGGGGACCACATGATAATTACCCTCTTTCACAATCAGCATGAACACCCTCCTCCCTGTCCACCAGAGATAGCTCATCCCATCTGAAACCTAAGGGAAAGTAGAAAAGGACTTTACCTGAGCTGACCTTGTCGATCCAGAAAATCCTGCTTGGGTAAAACGACACCTGGGCTGGAGTGGACCACAACTGGCAGGCGATACTCCAGGTACGCTGTCTTCAGCCACCAGTCTGAGAGCTGGGACGGAGAAAGGCAACATGCAGGCATGGCATCTGCTGCTGTTTCACCCAAGCCCGGCTTAACGGTCCTGGCATCCTGCCCCCAGCTCCGTCCCACACTTTGCAAACAAACTGTTTGGGTTTTATGCTTTGCATGTGGAAGGGTAGAGGTGGATTTGAGCAAGGCAGTGGGGGCTCTTGGTGCGGGGCTCAAACAGAGGGTTTCCTTCAACTTCTTGGGGCAGCTGTGTGATGCTAACAGGTTAGAGGCTTCACCAGCCACTGACAAGGTCAGCGACTCCCTGTTCTGCCATAAATCTCTGCTCACCCAAGTCCTGGTGAGGAGCTCACACAGCTCAGGAAAGTCAGCAGCAGACTGGTCATTAAGGTGATGCCACAAAAACACGGGTGCCAGTGGATGCAGCCAGGACATTGGAGAGGTGTGCATCAGACCTCCACCCTCCCTAACCAGAGCCTGGGGCCAGAGTCGCGACCTACCCAGTTGTCCATTTTCTTGGCTCTTCTCTCCAGGCCTTTCTGCAGCCTCTCCCCAACGCCTCCTGGCTTGCGGAACTCAGCCACCAGCTCCTGCGTGTGGTTCAGCTCCTCCTCGCTGATGATGGGCTGCAGAGCCAGCAGGTAGCGGTCCAGAGTTTGCTGGAGCGGTGGCACAGGGAGAGGGGGCAACGCTTCCTGATGAAGTTGGAATCTGCCTGGGATCTTGCCTAAAGCTGTCGGCTTCAGCAGGCCATAGGGCCTGGCCTGCAAAGCACAGAGCAAATGTCGAGACAAAACTTCCCCCCGATGTACACAAGGTAGCAAATAACTTGGATCTGACAGTCTCCATCCCATCCTCTCTGAGGGCACACGTCTCGGCATGGGAATAGAGCACACAAACCGCAAACGCAAGGCGCAGGTCTACTGACTGCACGCTAGAGACAGTCGTAGACCATCCAGAAAAGCTGCAAAAAATACTTGATATCCCAAGATACTGATTCTCAGCTCATCAGAGGAAGTGCTGCCAGGATAATGATACATCTCCACCTCTCTGGGCACCTTCCAGCTGAGAGTGTCCATGCATTCGACAAAGTCAAACCCTTCCATCCCATAGTAAGTGGGAAGAAAGTAAGTTATGAAAGAAATATTAATCTTATGTACTGTCAAACTGTTTCATTACTTCTTACAGCAGCATAAGGCTAGAAAGTTAAGCAGAGCACTTGCGCCAAATCAAACTATCCTTTGGCCTTTGAGGAGGCCGAATTTAGATAAGTTTGGGGCAGGATTAAAATGCCTCTTCTCTGACTGGCCAGGGATCATACGTCACCAGGGATGGCCAGGGAAGGAGTGGCCGTGACGTACAGGCCCTGGGGCAATGTGCCTTTATGCTGGTGAGCCTCCCAGTTATTGGAGGACCCAGCTATATTAAGAGAATCTCTATCCAGTTATTGGGACTGGCCAAATTACAGGAGCCTTTGGAGTGAGAACAGCGAGAGCTTTTCAGGAAATTGTGGGGAATGCCAACAGGCTCCTGGGATCTGATGGGGTCATGTGGGAGTGAAAGCCTTAGAAAGCACTGTACAATTTCACTGGGTGGAGAAATGAAATGGAGCAAACCCCATTGCTAACCAGAAAATGAACTTGCCAGTTTTCCCCAAAAAGAATCGCAACATTCACAACATTCTCTTGGGTGAAAAGGGTTAGACATCCTTCAACTTGATGATGTTTAAATTGTACTCTACAGGTTTTCAGTTCCCTCTGCTCCTCCCCCTCTATTGGATCTCTGAATCAGACACTCTCCTAAAGGACTCTGGACTTTGCATCCTCAGTGCACTGAAGATGCAAAGCCAGTGAGAACATGCCCTTTGAGTTCCAAGGCAATAAGAAAATAGCTGTCCCCCCTCCGCCTCCCAGGAGTTAAGCACAGAGAAGAAGAAAGAAAGAGCTAAATCTGCAAGGTGACAAAGCCTCTGCGTGGTGCTGAGCCCCCAGAGAAAATGCTCTATGCTCTTTGTAGGACCTGGCAAGAACGATGGGATCAAGGTTTGGAGAAGAAATGTTAAAAATAAGAGAAGGGGGAATTACTGAAGCACGAAAGGAGAGTGTGACTGGGAAGAAATGAAGGGTATTAATGGCAGTGTGGGCATACTGTACCTTCTCTGCTTGCTTCTGCTTCCTATCCATGGCTGGTGGGACAGAAAAGATCGTAAACCTCTCCCTCGGCCTGTCTCGGTTTCCTCTTCCACCTGACAATGTGCTGCCCATGCAGGGCGTCACCTTATTAGCAAACTGCCACATGACTGCTCTGATCAGAGGGCTCAAGGCCAGACACAGGCCCGGAGAGGCCGGGGGTAATCAGACCATCGGGTTGCGTCAACTGCCATGAAGGCACCTTTCTGGCAAGCCCTCCTGCGGCCACTGACCATCAGCCCTGCATTGCCCAGTCGGTGATCGCTGATCAATACCGTGTGGGCAGAGTCTCTCTCCGATCAATAGCTCTGGGCCTCCAGCCATGGCAGAAGCGAAGGTCCTGGGAACACCGTTCCCTCGGCTTTTGCCTGGACCATGAAACTACAGTGACCATGGTGAGAGAAGCCTAAACATCAGGCAGGAAAGACCCTCATTTACGTCCTGGAAGCAGGTGACACTGTGGGACGTCACCAGATGGGACAAGCTGCAGGGAGGACTTATGCGGGCAATGGGGAATTTAGTCCCTTTGCTCAGGCAAAGGTGGCCGGAGGGCGTCAGGTGAGGACAGCTCTCCAGCAGGAACTGGGCAGTGACCCTGTGTCACTGCAGGTGATGGTAGGATTAGTTGGAGATGGGAGCAAATTCAGTTTGGGGCTAAAGGCAGTATCTTAACTGCCCTCTCACCACATGCATGTGTGGTCATTATTGCAAGCTGAGACTTTGGGGAGTTCTGGGTTGTCAACCCTTAAAAAATAAAATAAAATAGGTATCTCCAAAGTAGGACAACAACAGAACTGTGCAGTCACAAGGAGTATCACCCCTTCTTTTGTGTCTGTCTAACCAACTGAGGGGCAGACAAGCAGAGTCTTCTACATAGCTAAGATAAAGTATGATGATTCTGAACAGTTTCAGATTTTCCCTGGGGTTACAGGGAAAATCCCAAACCAAATTAATTGAAAACACTACATGTTAAAATGTGAAGTAGATTTGTAACTTTCCTCTTTTATGTCCTCTGCTTGTTTGGTTTGAGGTCAAACACAAGTGTTTGGTGGGAGGAGGAATAGTGATCGCAGCTGAACAGAGGAGGCAGCTGGCAGCAAATAGAGCGAACAGTCCACCTTTCCCCACAAGCAACAGGGAAAATGAACACCAGCAGAGTGCGGGGCGTGCAGACATGGCCAGCTCGCAGGCTGGCGTTGCTCCCAAGCCACGTTCCAATGCAGCAGATGACCTTTTCCAGAGCCTGCAAAGCTGGTGGGAAATCCACCTGCAGCCTGGGGCTGGGAGGGCAGGAGGAATTTCAGAGCAGTGTCTGATTCCCAGCACGGCCACAACACGCAGTGTCAGATGACAGCGGTTTGTCTTTTTCTTTTATTTTTAAATCAGAAGCTAGAGACCCCCTCAAGCTCAGAGACAGCCTGACCCCTCGGAAAGCGTCTCCGGGAGCGAATCCATCATGTAGCTGCCGTCATACCGCTCTGCCTCCTCCTCCCCCGGGATCTGTCAGCGTTTAGACAGCCTGACCCCTCGGAAAGCGTCTCCGGGAGCGAATCCATCATGTAGCTGCCGTCATACCGCTCTGCCTCCTCCTCCCCCGGGATCTGTCAGCGTTTGCAATGAACAGTTGCTACGACCGACCGGGCGCAGGGCTGACAGCTCCGCCGCGCGTAGCCTTCCCCCTGCTTGCAGGGAAAGCCGTGTTTTGAAGGCGAAGCCTGCAGCCACCGATA